GTGCTCCTTGGAGGCCAGGATGGCCAAACTTCATCTCTCATACTTCAGACATATTGTCAGGAGGGACCAGTCGCTGGAGAAGGATATCATTTGGTAAGGTGGAGGGTCAGAGATAAAGAAGAAGACCCCCAAGAGATAGACTGGCCAAGCGGCAGCATCGATGGACTCAAGCATGGCAACAGTAGTGAGGTAACCTAAGATCGGGCAGTGTTTCATTCTGCCGTGCGTAAGGTCGCTATGAGTCAGTACCGACTCGATGGCTCCTAACAACAACAACAACAACAATTGGGGACTGCAGTGGCTCAGCAGGATAAGCACTGGACTGCAAACCACATGTCGGTGGTTCAAACCCACCAGCTGCTCTGTGGGAGAAAGATGAGGTTTTCTATTCCTGTAAAAATTCACAGCCTCAGAAACGCTATATAGCGTGGCTATGATAGAACCAACTCGATGACTCAGCAAAAACAACATCAACATAAAAATTATATAAGTTTTCAAGAAAATAGCCTCTTTTCAGTGTCTGAAATCTTCAATTTAAGAATTACAACATAAAAGGAATAAAGCACAGAAAATTCATACACTTGAGAGACTGAAACATTATTTTTAGATGTCTTATGGCTTTAAAGAAAAGAAGTCCAAATCAGGGTACTGCTTCTAGGGTTAGGTCTTGGCAGTAGCTCAGGGTGTTACATGACAGGCCTTGGCTTGTGGTCAATTCCTCACATGGCCTCTTTCCCCATTTGTGTCTCCGTGGTCACCACTCAGACCAAATCTTAATACTAAATCAATAATTCAACTAGCATTAAAATAAATTAGGAGGTGACGCAGTTGTGTTGACCACTGAAGATGGAATATTGATTGGGAACCTTCCAGGTGGTGGTAATGTTAGTGTATACAGTTTAAGAATTCTTTGAGTTGTACACTGAAGATTAGTGCATTTGTAGACTTTAATATATGTATATTATATTGTTGTTGTTAAGTCCTATTGAGTCGATTCCTACCCATAGTGACACTGCATAGCGTTTCCAAGGGTGTAAATCTTTACAGGAGTAGAAAGCCTCATTTTTCTACCGCAGAACCGTTGATAGTTTTGAACTGCTGACCTTGAGATTAGCAGCGCAATTCTTAACCACTATGCTACCAGAGCTCCTTGTATACTGTGTATACTTCATTAAAAATTAGTTATTTGGTATGCTAGACTTTCAAATAAGTCTTTTTCTTTTCTCTAAACTCTTCTCTTTAAAAACATTTCAGCAAAATTAAACTATTTCCAAAAGCTCCAAAAGGTTGATGGAACCAACTTTCAGGCTTTGGCTACAGAGTTTGGAGGCAAAGCTTTCATTCCCACATTCCAGTCACCACCACCACTGCCACCACCTTTTTACAGGGTAAGCCTGCGCAAGGGAATGGGATTGTTTTGTTCTTCCCTTCATCCAAGACAGTTGACTAGTGGCCTCTGAGGTCCCTTGAAGCTAGGTAAACCACTGTCAGCTCTTACGGAACACAGTATTGTCCACCTTAACAGGCTATTGAGCTAACCCTTGTTTCCTGTTTTTCTTTTCTGGCAATCTCATTGCAAATAAATTTCTTATACTGTGTTCAGGCTGGGGACCCCATTGTGATTTACTTCTCCAAGTGGTCTACTGTAAGCCTGCTGAGACAGCCTGCAGAAATTGGAGCTGGAGGACTTTGTGCCGAGATCAACCCTGCAAGTAAGTCCAGGGAAGAAATATCTACCTTGTGGTTGATTTAAAATAGGCTTTTTCATTTATCATTCCCTTAATTCTTTGTGTTCAAAGGCTTTTTGGAGAGTAAAAGTACAACTTGCACTCGTTTTTTTAAGAACCTGACAAGTAGCTGTATCTTGGATCCAGCTCTTGATGCTGCTTCTTACTATAATTTCACAGTCTTGAAGGTATGTATCTTCTCCTCCCTCCCTACTTTGTTACCAGTGTGAATTTGAAGTCAACATCCTACGTCCCATTGTTGATGGATTATGAAAAGAAGACTGGAAATCCTACTGTCTGAAGATAAATAAAGTACTAGGAATATATATCAAGGATAATAGATTATCAGACTGTGGGCTAATGGGATTGGCTTGGGAAGGGTTTAAGGAATGACATCTCTCTTTCACCAAAACACTGCTTTTACTATTTGGTAGTTAAGTCAAACTTCTTAGTCCATCCAACCTCCCTACCACCTCATACCTGGCTTTGTAGTATGAAAAGTCAGATGGAAAAGAGGAAGCAAATCATTCTAATTGGTGATTCCCCAACCCAAAGTCTATTGGTAGTCTTAAGAAACCACAGTCTCCTGGTGATTTTCTGTAACATCTATACACATTCATGTTTCTTATTCTAGGTTCCAACAGGTATGACTGATCTGCACAATATGGAGGTATGATGCTGCATATCAAGAAAATGGAAAGAGAATACTTTCCCCTTTGTTTCTGGGGCAATTTCAGTCTGAATTGTAATGATGAAAGGAAATGTTTGTGTTAAGTATGGATTTAGACCATTGTTTTCTCAAGTGTGTTCTATCCTAGGGACCTTCAGAAACTTTGTGGAAATAATCTGTTATCTTTTCATTCCATTTTTCATGAATGTTTTGAAGCCCCCTGGTACAACTAGTAAGTAGTTTGGAACACACTGGATTAAATGAAGCTAAATGCTTAATTTATGGTGGACTTATTTGAGTTCCTAGTTAACTCTCTTACATGCTAACCAAAAAAGGCTGTAGGTTCAAGTCCACACAAAGGAGCCTCAGAAATAAGGCCTGATGTGTACTTCCAAAAAAATTAATCATTGAAAATCCATGAAGCACACATGGGGTTGACATGAGTTGGAATCAGCTAGACAGCAGCTGATTTCTGGCCTTGGAAGTCTTTAAGATTCAGGAAGGCCTTGTTAATTCCTAATAGGGGAGTATGTGGTGGTGATGGTGGTGGTGCCATGGAGTCAGTTCCGACCCATAGCGACCCTGTACAGGGTTTCCGAGGCTGTAAGTCTTTACAGGAGCAGAAAGTCTCGTCTTTCTTCTGCAGAGCCACTGGTGGTTCTAACTGCTGGCCTTGAAATTAGCAGCCTGACTCATAACCACTACACTACCAGAGCTCCAATAGGGGGGAGTATTGTTGTTAAGTACTGTGGAGTCGGCTCCAACTCATAGTAACCCTGCACAGAGTTTCCGAGGCTGAAAATCTTTATGGGAGCAGAACGCCTCATCTTTCTACCGTGGAATCGCTGGTAGTTTTGAACTGCTGACTTTAAGGTTGGCAGCCCGGCTCATAACCACTGCACTACCAGAGATCTTTAATAGGGTAGTATAGAACACAATATTTCTAAGATGTATCTATGGAATCCTTATTTTATATCTAATAGTATTAGTGTTCTGGGGAATGTATATTGAGAATTGCTGATCTAGAATGACTTTTGAAGTTGTATGCTGGCAATGGAAGGATAGAAAATTGGGAAGGTCAAGAAGAAAAAAGAATACTCATTTCAACTTGGTATGTAGGTAGAAGAGAAAACGCTGCTTTTAATTTTAGCTGATTTGCATCTTACCCTGGCTCTTTTCAGGTGCCTGTAACACTTGTCTCACAGACTGATTCTCCTCTGTTGTCTGGAAACACTTGTCAGAATGTGGTTTCGCAGGTATGGATGCTGACCTTAGTCAGAACTTGATTCTAGACTGATGTGTATTGACCTACTTTACCAGAGATGCCCAAATCCCGTTAAGTAGTCAATTAACCCCACATGAATTTGCTTATATTATCTCAAACTTAACATGTCAAGAATTGAGCCTATCCACTTCCCCTCAACGTGTGTTTTAATCTTTTTAATTGCCACTATCCTCTAGTGTTTTAGGCACAGAACATTCCAGTTATTTCTAATTTGTCTTCCTTTTCTTACATGCAGCCTCTGACTGGCTCTTACTGACTGTCCACCTTTTGTTCTGCTGATACAGTGTCATCTGAAAATCTAAAAAGACTAGCCTTCTCTGTTCCTCCATTCTCTCTTGTAATCGATACAACCTAGAATTAGGAGTTATTTCAAGTATTTTAAAGATTTGAAATACTTCAGGAATTTAAACTTACCTTCAATTGCTTGTGCTTCCTCTCCACAGCTATCTTTCCTCAACCTCAGATATTGCTAAAGCCAAGTAAATCTAGTTTTCATGCCATGCTCACCTCTACCTCTTCTTCTGTTCTTCCTCTTCTGCCCACAGTCTAGCTTATTTTTCTTGTCTTTCTTACTGTAAACTCACTTCCTCCAGGAACCCCTTCTGTGAGCTCCAGCCGTGAGCTCTTATGTCCAAGTGTAATATGAAGTGATCTTTTCATGACATTTGTGTTTGGCATTTTTAAGGTTACTTTTTAGCAACCTCCACTCAGTTATAATAGAAATTTGAAAAGACAGAAAATCCTCTGTCCTGTACACAGTCAACTAAATGTTTGTTTTTTTTTTAATTGACTGATTCTTCTTTTGCATTTTAGGTGATGTATGAGATAGAGACCAATGGAACTTTTGGAATCCAGAGAGTCTCTGTCAGCTTTCGACATACCAACCTGACTCTTGAGCCAGACGTTTCCTTACAGCAACACTTCACCGTTCGCTTCAGGGTTAGAGCCCATCTCCTATGAAGGATTGATTGAGGGTGGAATGCTGGCTAGAAATAGGCATGTTCCCCTGCTTCGGAAACACATGCAAACTAGAATAAGAATACGAAAGCCTAGTCCAGTCAGTTCCTTAAAGGCTCCACACTCAATATTCAAATATTAAGCTATAATTGATAGAGATTCAGCATGTTTATTTATTAACATTTTTCTCTGATTCTCAGTCTGGCACCACGCAAAGCAGGACTTTAATCTTAAATCATAACTCTTTTTTTAATAGTAATTTTGAGTCGTAAACTAAGCCAACATCCTACAGAAATGCTTTAGCTAGCTTTTCTTTTATTTCTGGATATTTTATTCATTTCCCATATGATCTAAGTTTGTCATCTTGATCACCACCTTTGGTTCTCTTAAACTTCTTTCCTTTTCTTGAACCTAACAATACATTTTCTTATCAGCTTTACCATCTGGTGATCAACCAAGTTCTTGTGTCTCAGGGATCAATTTTTTTTTTTTTTCAATGTTTTATTGTGAATTATGTGATAGTTTACATGGGGAAACATTAGCTTTACATTCATCCTGTCGTATATCGTTACATTGCCTTGGTTATAATCCCATTCACGCATCATCAACCAACCCTGGTCATCAGCACACAGTCCCTCTCCTTCTCTGGACTTAGAGTCCCCAGCCGCTCCATCTCTCCACGTCATCGTCTATGCCTCCATCTCTGGCATCACTATTTCTCTGGGTAGGGTCCTGCACTCCGTTCTTCTCCCTTGATGGTCGCAGGGCCCTCCTCTCCTGGACTGCAAAGTCACTCCCCTCCTTTTGCTACAGAATGTCTACCTTTACATTTCCAACACTCACAGTCAGTCCTGATAACAGTCATTCACTATTGTACCACATGAATGCTATCCATATCTCCTCTCATCAGTCCCACCCAGACAGATTGGCTACTACTCAGTAGTAGTAGGGAGAGTCTCCCTTCCTCCGCACCCTCTGAATCTAGGCTCCCTCTTGAAAGCTTGTATGCCAGTCACTTCTTGTCTTTGTAGGCCCTCCCCTCCCATTTTGGGTAGCCAATGTCCAAGTTGCCCATCCCTGTGTATTGAGGGAGTGGGAATGATCAGAGATCATTTTTGAGATATCTTTATGACTATATGCATATATTTTAGAGTACACCTACTACTCAGTTACACTGAAATAACTCTACTCTCAGCTAGGTTAAACGTATCCCTAAACTGATAGTCATTTTTGAGAAACGCAGTTGAGGAATCCTTGGTTGTCACCCTTGGTAATAATAATAGTATATAGTGAATTTCAGTACAAGGAGGCTTCAAAAACTTGGTGGGAAAATTCTGTTATCTTTCAATTCCATTTTTCCCAAACTTTTTGAAGCCCCTTCATGTAAAAATAGCTCAATTTATTTTGATGTTCAGTGCCATTGAGTTGGTTCTGGGTAGGGTTTCCAAAGAGCTACTGGTGGGTTGGAACTGTGGACTTTGTGGTTAGCAGTCCAGTATTTATCCTACAGCGCCATACCAGGATTCCCAATTTATATTAATAAACTAAAAAAAAATGGATTAGAAATTTCTACAAAATGCTGTTTCTTTGCCTGGGAAGGCCGAGAAATCTGTGCTGCTAACTTGTTGCATTGCATGAGGAAGAATGCAAAGCCAGCTTGAGGGAGGTGGTAAGGGATTCTCTTCTCAATAATTGAGTTTCCTTTTCTTCCTGCAGCCTTTTGAAGGAAGCACAGCTACTTCTCTTCTGGGTCCTAGAAGTGGGAATCCCGGCTACCTTGTTGGGAAACCACTCTTGGCTTTAACAGGAGATGTACGTCACTCAATATCCTTTTTGGTTTGTTCAGCCTAGTGAGAAAATCTGCAGCTGCAGAACTTTGGGATTTTCCAGTTCCTAGGGTCCTCCACTCTTTTTTTTTTTTTTTTTTAAGGTATTCGGCATTTTCTTCAAACTATTATTAATATAGTATGTTCTGAAATGCTTATGACATCAACAGCTTTAACACTTATGGTAGAGTGACTGAAGGTAGTGTGATGAAGTGAATCCCTTTATTATGTGGCCTTTGGCCTTGGTTCTTTGGAAACACAGTTCAAGAGATTTCCAGAGCCAGCAGTGACAGACAGGAATCCAACAAGAGCTTTACCTCAGGGCCTGAGAGAGCTAGCCTGCATTGAAGAAGGGAGACTTTGCCAACATGGCTTGTGATCTTGAGTTGCAGCCTGGTGGTTCTGATCCCAATTTGAGACTTGTTCCTTAATAAGCCACTTGGCTATAAGAAAGAATACTCTGTGAGTTTTGTGAGACGTTGCAGCAAATTTCCAAACCCAAATGGGGAAAAAGAGTGCTGAGGGGAGAGAGAGTGGCTGGTGTCAGTGATGGAATGGTACATAGAGCAGCTTGGGAAAATGTGACAATCTGGGATGTATTTGATCTCTGTCTCATAGGAATTGGCTTTGGGCTAATCCTAGCCACTATTCCTGCGCCCAAAGTTAGACAAGATCTCCTATTATTACTCTAGTTCTATCTCACCGTAAGGATTATGACTGATTTTTGTCTGTTAATGAGATATTTACATGCTTATATGTGACATCATTTTTGGAAAAACAATAGTTGTCTCCCAATTGTCAATTACTAAAAACACAAATTTTTGGCTTGAAGGATATTCTGATAGTAATAAAATACAAATGGCATGAAGAGAAGAATAAGTAAAGCATACCGTTTCCAACCCTGTCTACTTTGTTACTGTTATACCGTCCTTGACTTTCCATCTCAGATGACACTCTTGCAGAGTCAGGGTGATGGAACCTGCTCTGCTGAGAGACATGAAGCACAGTTTGGAGTGAATGCAGTATCTGGATGCAAGCTCAGGTAACCCTTTGTTTCTGCATCCTTTCCCATAATTTTGCCTTTCCCTGTAGGCAATATGTTGATATATGGCAACTTTTAAATGACAGTTAGTTCAGAGAATGCTAGTTAGGAATATTCTCATAACCTAGGCAACTTTAGTATTGTTAGGAGTTTTCTGGAAACAGTCCTTTTATCCCTATGTATGATTATTTTCTTTAATATGTTTTAAGTATCATTTCTAAGGTTTGCATTACTATACTAATATGGTTACATTATTATAGTGATGGTGCTAAATTTACTTTCTGAGATGCCCATTATTTGACTATTTGATAGTTGATACACACTTCCCTGGTATTAGCGTGGATTTCCAGGCATCATGGTGTTTAATTACAGGCTGAGGAAGGCGGGCTGTCGCTATTTGCAGCAGGAGATTTATCAGACTCTTCATGGAATGCCCAGACCAGAGCATGTTGCCATCTTTGGTAATGCTGACCCAGGCCAGAAAGGACAGTGGACCCGGATCTTCAGCAGGAACTGCAATGTTTCGGTAAGAAGAGAAATAACGTTTTCTGACCAAGACTCATTTTACCCCTTTGTAAATTACAGGTGGTAACATTAAAACCAACCTTATTTCCACTAATAGTGTGGTGGTTATACAAAGAATATTTTAAAAAATCATGCCTATTTGAAGTCTTCATTTCAGCTTAGATTTATAAAATATATAGATAGAAAGTCTGAAGATAACTCTTTGATTCAAACTCAACTCTATGCTTCAAACATTGGCTGTATTCTTGACTATATAGTCAACACACACTTGAGGTTGAAATCATGATCTTTCTGTTGTGGTTATAAAAATAATACATTTACAAGTTTGAAAATTGAAACGATAAAGGATGGTATTGAATGAAAAGTAAAACCTTCATCCATTCGCAGCCCCAGAAGTAAACACCTTTAAGTGTTTCTGTTTTTAGTTTACCATTGGTCTACATCAGATGAATCTCCCTCCTGACTCTCTTCTAAGTAAAATGAGCCTCCTCTATTGCCTGCTTCTTCTTTTGCCTGTCCAATACTCCTAACTTCAGCTAGCCATGTCATTATGTTTGTTTCTTACCATTTAAAGTTTTAATTTATTTCTTAGCATTTAAATTTTGAAGTTAATGTTTATTTTGCTGTATACATAATACCTATACTTAGTCAACAAATCCAGAAAGTACAAATTAAAAATCCCCCTCCCAAGCTTCTGTTCCCCTTCACAGAGGCAACCAAAGTTACTCATTTCTTTCCTTCCATAAAACATTTCAGATTCACCAATAAAACACTCAAATTCTTCTTTTTCCCACCAGAATGGTAGGTTATTATAAGGACAACTTTGTACCATGCTTTTTTCACTTGACTTTATAATTGGTCCCTTATCAGTTCATAGTAATTATCACAATCATCCTTATTGTTTATTGTCACATTTGTTGTTGTTAGGTGCCGCCAAGTCTGTTCTGACCCATAGGCACCGAACATACAACAGAACAAAACACTGCCCGGTCCTGCACTGTCTCACAGTTGTTGCTACGGTTAAGCCCAATGTTGTTGCCATGGTGCCAGTCCGTCTTACTGGGGGTCTCTTTGTCTTTTTCACTAACCCTCCACTTGACCAAGCATGATATCCTCCTTTTCCAGTGACTGGTCCCTCCTGATAGCATGACCAAAGTATGAGAGACAAATTCTCACTATCCTGGCTTCTGAGGAGCATTCTGGCTTTACTTATTCCAGCACATTTGTTTGTTCTTCTGGGAGTCCGTGGTACTTTTAATATTCTTTAATATTCTTCTCCAATACCATAATTCAAATACATTGACTCTT